ATTAGGCTTTTATTTTATATATATATATATATATATATATATATATATATATATATATATATACACACACACACACACACACACACACACACACACACACACATATATATACACACACACACACATATATATACGTATATGTATATATATATATAATATAGGATATATATAATACAGGTTGATCATGCTGCATTATTCAAGTATTATAGAAAACTTAGAGGCACAGTGCACAGAATTCATGCACAAAGGGGGAAGGAGACCCCTCAGTCCGGCCTGCACCCTCTCCAATCCTCCAATCAAGGACCCCTCGGGGAATGTCCAACTGCAGGTTTGTGCCCGCACTTTTAACAGATGACAGCTCCATTGTCGTTTCTTTCTTTTCATGCTTAAACACATTGGAATTAGTAGGTATTCAAACTGTGTATACATTTTGGGGGGACACCCTGTATATCTCTAGTCAACATGAAAGGAACCAACAATAGATTTGGAACCCCCAGACAGGGAACCTCGCTCACTCTCCACGTTTCCCCTTTCCACTTTCCACCTTTACGAGCAGCGGGAGAATCAATGTTTTCTTGCATCAACTCAGAAAAGTACATTTTGTCACCTGCTGCCCAGCAGGAGTGCACTAGGCTCCAAGCGTGCGAGGCTCAGTCAGGGCAGCCTTCGCTCATGGGGGCCAGCACCCAAAGTGCACATTCCTCCTCTGCAGTCGCCCCGACTATCCCACTGTTTCACTGAGAGGGCTGAACTCTTCGCCTCCTCTGGTTCCCAACCTTGAATACTGACAGAAGGCACCTCAGGAGGGCTGCCCATGCCCACCAGATGTGTCTGTCCCCATCTGCTCCCACCTCAGCACCTGCATTAGCCCCAAGGAAGTGATTTCATCGCTGCACTGGCCTCCACGGGAACAGGACATCATCACTTAGTCCTCATATGTCATCTCACAGGCACCCACCCTCAGCATCTAAAACATCCAGACACTCTCCAAAGGACATGAGCATGCTGGAGGGAACGTGTTCACATCCTATGGGATATGTAGGCATGCTAAGGTTGATGGAAGTGCGGTGGAGGGGGGAACTTGCACACAGCATCATCCGGGACTATTGTAGGTGCACAGGCGCACCTGGGTGACAGCGTGCTGGGGGACATTCACACACCAGCAAGGGAGGAAAGGATGCATGCACTGGAGGCCTGTTGTTGTGCAGATCCGCAAACTCCTGCCCAGAGGCTCTCCACCCACTGGCTGCTCTGCACCTGTGTGCACTGCCCATCCATTTGGAGCGCACTGCCCAAGGCGACAAAGGCAGGCATCCCGCCCTGCCCCACCCACCAGCCTCTCTATGCATGTGCACATACTTGCTGCCCACAGCCCCACCAATTTTGCCAGGTTAATTTGCATATTCACTCCTGATTGGCTGTAGGTGTCACAGAGGTATGGTCAATTTACATGTTTGTCTATTATTAGTTTAGATGAGATTCTACATGTCTGACATATTATATAAATGTAACACTAAACATTGTTTCATATAGTCTCAGGGCTCTGTAATCTTCAATACTAGCTATATCAATACCTTTCTTGTACAGATATGGAAACTCAGTCTCAAATGTCACCTGACAGCCAGCTTGGAAGGCCAGGACAAGAGTCCAAGTCTTACAAACCTCCAGTCCAGTCCTGTTTGCATTGCTATAGTATCATGCTATTTCCATTTTTATACAAAATTTTACTTATAAGACATAAAAGAGTAATTAACATCATAAATGCTTATGAATTCAATTGGTATTTTCCAACTGTTTGTGTTGTTCTACACTCTCAATTTGAGTCTGCAAATAGATAAAGGTTTCTTTTAAATGTAGGAGAAAGACATTCTCAGCAACTGTTTTATTATAATCTTTCCTAGTCACTGATATATTTAGTCAAATCAGAAATAGTAACAGATGATATAAAAATCATTAAGTGCAAATGAGTTTTTCTTCTAATCTTGACTTTGCACAGTAAAACAAATAAACATGCAGAAATATATTATCACATTTCAACATCAACTATTGATAGTAAGCAAGGGGCCATGGGTTGTGTCCTTTTCATCAAGCAGGACGGGGCAGAGCACATCAAACACACCCAGACTCCTGCTCAAATCTTAGTCTATGTTCTAGATTTTGACTCTGCCCTGGTATTCAGATGAATTCACACAGGCTTTCTGTTGGTGTCAAAAAAGACAGTTGAGCTAAATGACTGCTCATGGCCAGACAGCTATCTTTGGACTTCACAAATTCCTTATCATTTGAAAATCCAGAGATAGTTAATAGGTCTATTTCAGTAGAATACTAAGCAGGACCCCAAAATAAATAGTTATCTTGAGAGTATGATTACAACATATATTTGTGTCACAGCAACTGGTTATGCTATGAGAAATGACTAAAAACTAAGAAAGACAAGTAGCCCCCTCTACAAAACAATAATGATAGGCTTTCAAGCCATGTACTCAAATCTTCTACCATTTCTCTAAATTCTTTATTTAGCAAGTATCAATAACAGAAAATATATCTACTGTGATTTTGGCTAATGCTCAAAGATTGTGGCCATAAATTAATGCTGACCAGAAGATCTAAATATTCAGAATTTGCCCTTTCTTTTAAGTTATACCTTAGCTCAAGTATAAATGGAAGGCCTTCAGTTAGAATCAGGAGCAATGAAAAGTAGCCTCCTTTGTGAAAACTGAACCAAGTATAGATCAAAGACATAATGAAGTCAGAGAAAAAGTTTTCTATTGAGTTATAGGAACATTTGTTTAACTTCAGACATTCCAGTTGTGTTTGTGTTCATCCCATGCTGTTCCCATGATCCTCTGCACACCAGAGTCTATCTAAACTCAAGAAAACAGTTTAAAAATTTAATCACAACCTGAAAGAATTTCCCACACTGTTCACTGCCATTCATATATTCTTCAACAAAAACAATTCATCTATGGTTGCAGTTATGACACTGTTATAATATCATAAAGCCTATCACTTTAAGTAAGTCAAGATCTATTTGCAAAATATAATCAAGTATAATTCCATGATTCAATAAATAGTATATAAATCTGCTATTACTGGTTTTCATTTTCTTTTCAATATAACCCATTTCCATTTTCTCATCGGCAGTTATTCTGACTATTCAAATGCCATTATTGCCCTTTATTGTTATTCAAATGTCATTTTATTAGATCCTCTGCCACTATATATAAGGCTGGGCTTCTTCACCAACAATAATTCCATTTCTGAAAGAAAATGGAAGCGGCTGCACACAAAACCCTAAGCTATTACTTTATGTTAGTTTAATTCTGTGCCTGAAATGGGATTTTAACTTAATCATGTTGGAGAAGACCAGAAGTTTTTTATTAGCTACCTTGAGAAAACAGGAAAATATTCTTTCCATGCAGGTATTGGGTTCAAAAACCCATAAAATCATTACCCCTGCCCAATGATGTTTATAAGACACACTTACTGACCAAATTAAACTGTAAATTTCCTTTGTCATAGGGCATTCATCATTTTTATGTATTTTTCTCTTGGAAAATAACAAAATGTTCAAGTAGTTGAAAGAAAGTGCTACAATTCAATTAAATAGCCTTTTAAATATACTTTGTAGTAGATCTATGGAAAATGTAATTTAAAAGGCACATAACCATTATTGCATTACTGTTGTTAATTTTATTAATACAATACACTGGCTCACAAAGGAAAACTATATCAATACCAGGTTATAACTCTCAAACACAAATCTTGCAACTATTGCATCAAGCTACAGAAAATTAACTGGTGTGCCTGTTAGTGGCAAGCAAACTTAAAACTTATACACTTCTGTGGTATCCTGCCAGAAGTTTTGTGTATATAAGTAGAATACTTTTACAATAACCATAGATCTTTTCTCTAGTAGGAAAACTAATATATTGTATGAGCAGGACAAATTAAAGTGTCAGGCATTTTACCCAAGAACTCGAATTCTTCAGGAAGAAGAATGCCAAGGTTATTGGGATTTGTTACAGGATGCATAAAGAAGGAGCAGCATAGCCTGATATTGAGACCAATGATGATGGATTTGGGTAATGTGGGATAAAGGACCCACAGGGTTAGCAAATATTTACCTGCCATCTCTGTGAACAGAGAGAAGGCTCTGCTCCCTGCCTCGAGGAGATAAGTAGAGTACGTTAGGGGCATACTGACCATTGGGATCAAAGCTAATTATGTGAAACAATTCCAGTGCAGTGTCAGGCATCATATAAATGAGCACCAGTGTATTTATTTCAGACAAGGAGAGCTACAGGAATTTAGAAAAAGGAATTTAAATTCCATAGCTGCACCTGTGGACAGCATAACTGAATGGAGCCTAAAAACCTAGATAATAATATCACAAAAATCCTTAGCCAGCCTCAATTCCCAAAAGGCCCCAGGGAATGGATGAATTGAAAATATGACTTCTATGATACTGATCATTTTCTAACCTACCTGCACAAATATTGTCACATACCCTCCCTTACTGAGAATCAGAACCTACCACTAATAACAAAAACATTGGGACCTATACAACAGCATTCTCAAAATGTTCCCTTTTAATATGAAGAGAAGCAGGAATCTTAAGCAGCGTCCTAATTTTTCATTATAGAAAAACTTAAATAATCTTTAAGCAAGCAAATATCAGAAACCTTGGGCTCTAATATAAAGTTGCCAGATGGCCTTAGACAAATTAATTCATTGACCTTGACCATGACCAATATCTGTGCAAATTTCTACCATCCTTCCAGCTCTGAGCAGGTCCTTGTCTCAAAGACAATTTTTGGCACTGCTGCTTTACTTTACTCAGAGAAATAGAATTCTCTAAGAAGCCTCTGGTAATATTTGTCCCCAGTGATGCTTTTGGCACCAAATGGAACAAGACACCATTTTCCAATTCCCTGCCTCCAGCATCAAGTCCAAAGCTATAGAGGCTGCTATAAGTTGAAGACGTGGGTTTAACTCACCTCCAGAGACTTCTGTGTTTCTCCTCAAGTTGAGTTAGCAGATGCTCAATGTATTTATTGGAGTCCATGTATTCCTGCACATACACACACAAAGACAAATAAATCCTCATTATAATAGTCACCAGAATTCTAAAAAAAGCTTTATATCTACAAGGAAGATTTTGACAAGATAATTCCTTAGACTCTAGGAGTCAATGACTTACATGTAGTTATTTGGGAATATTTTCTCCATGCTATAAAGAAGCATCGAAGAGAAATGGAGTTCAACCTAAAACTCCTCCAATTCACAGAATAAAAAGATAAACTTCATATTTCTCTAAACTGAGATCTGTGTTCTGCTGTATAAACATTAAGTGAGCTAATGTTGCTGCTGGCCTTATAAGAATAATAACACAGACAATACAGGTCTTAACTGCATTGATCTTACAAGAGTCCCTTCCTGCAACAACACTATTTTTTAACTTCTTAGAATGCTTTATACAGACACTGCCCACATTTAGTGGACACACCATTTCCACTGATGGAACACATCTCCCTTCTTCATCTCCTTATAGAAACAAGACAATGTCATTTGCTTTGGTTTTCTTTGACTCTTAGAAAATAAATCTTTGGCTTCTAAGAAGACATGAAGGCAAATCAAATCTTGTTTTTTAGAAATGTGGGTAAACTTATATTTACAAATAAAGCCATATATTCAAGAAATATTTCTGAAGAATGAGGAATTCTTTTGTCATATAAGACTGATTCATAAAAATTCAAAGTTTATTATATTAAATCTGATTTTTAAGAATTTTTGATTTCTGAATAAGAATGTGAGGTTTGAATGTAGTAGTTTCCATTGTTAAGCTTGATGATTCTTTCATCCTGAACCTGACACTTTTGATTTCTAGCAGAGGGTCTATCTAGCCTGTAGGACGTGTGTCTGTATAACAGCTGCCTTAGATGGAATAGAATATAATGATTTCAGTGCTAAGTCACCCATGAACGTTACTATTTCATTTCTTATGGATTTGAGATAACCTGTGAACTTTGATTAATATTCATACTTTTCTTTCTGAAATACAAGTTTATTTATTTAGATTAAATACTATACATAATCTATTGCTCCCATAAGAATCCTAATATATAAAAACCCTGGGTTCACTACATCCACAAGGACCAGAGGCTTGACCTAATGCCCAGGCTGCGCACGCAGCAGGCTCTGGTGGGTGGGGACTTGTGGCAGTGGAGATGGGGAGACGGGGACAGGGGAGGCAAAGCCAGCACTCACACTCACTCACAACTGCACACACCCACAGGCACACACACTGCCCACCAGTTCATAGCCTTTTCTTCCTTTCTTTTTCTCCCTCCCAGCTTGCTCTCAGAGCCTCTTTCAGAATGAGGAAACAAAACAGACTAGGCATGAAGAGGCCTGGATGGAAGCGAGGGTGGGCAGAGGGTGGAATCCACCCTCCTCCCAGCTGGGAAAAAGGAAGAGGGAAACAGGGAGGCAGAGAAACAAAGAGAGACAGAGACTTGGCTAGATCAGGCCGGCAGGGGAGGGCAGTTGGGGGCAACCAGGACAGCAGGGGAGGGCAGACAGATGCAGATAGGGGAGATCAGGCAGGCAGGCAGAGAGGTTAGGGGCAATCAGGCAGACAGGCAGAGGGGTTAGGGCAATCAGGCAGGCAGGCAGAGGCAGTTAGGGGTGATCAGGCTGGCAGGTGAGCAGTTAGGACCACAGTGCAAGAGGCAGATATCCCCCAAGGAGTCCCCAATTGGAGAGGGTGAAGGCTGGGCTGAAGAAGCTCCCCCCCCCCCATCCCTGGTGCACAAACTTCATGCACCCGGGCCACTAGTATTCACTATAATGAGATGGGGAGGGCATGTGAAAGAAGCACAGTAAGGATTGACTTAATACCACAGAAAGGCCCCTACTCCACATTTCTGAACCTGGATATACTCATGTAGCTTTTGAGAAGCCTTCTTACCAATCTACAATATTTCAGTGCAACTAAAGTGTGTACTACTAAGTCCATATCTAGCTGAAAACTGTTATGATTATGTAACACTATTATTCTATTGCAGATGTTAGCTGAAGAGTTTTATTCTTTTTAAATAATATCAATTTTCACCTGGATGGTGTGGCACAGTGGTTGAGAATCAATCTGTGAACCAAGTCAATTCCCAGTTAAGGGCACATGCCCAGGTTGCAGGCTCAATTGCCACTAGGGGCATATAGGAGGCAGCCCATCAATGTTTCTCTCACATTGTTTCTATCTCTATCCCTCTCCCTTCTTCTCTAAAATCAATAAAAACATTTAAAAATAGTCATTTTCAAGTTATTTAAACAAGACCATTTGGCATGCCAAAACCAAAGCAAAACTCTGTTACTGCAGGAAGTTGTGATAGTTTGTGATTATGCTAGTAAGTCAAAGTTTAAACAAAACTTAGAGTACTCAAAATTATCACAGACATTTTCAAATACATTTCATTGAAAACATTTTAAAGCACTGTTTTCAAGTAGAAACAAATATATATGTTTCAAAATCATTCATTCAATTTCATTCAATTGCTGTTTCCACATCGTTAGAGCAGAACTTGACATATTGTATGATCAATAAATACAGTGATAACCAAGAGGCAGGAGATTCCTGCTCTAAGGAGCTTAGAATCTGTACAGGAGAGACCTGAGAAATAAGTGAACAGGTTGATTCCAGATTGGTCGTATACTCTGACAGAAGTAACAGGTGACGGGAGAAATAACAGGGGAAGAGCATCTTCCGTATATTATTAATAGTATACAGTGGTCAGAAAAAGACTGAGCAAATGATATGTGAACTAGGACCTGAGAGAGAAGGGGGAGGTAAGCATATAAAGAGAGGGGGAAGAGGAAAGAGAACAAGGCAGACTAAGGAAACAGCATATGCCAACGTCTCCAACGTGTGGTATCCAAGGAACAAAAAGGAAGCCAGTGGGGCTGGTGCAGGGAGCCTGGGGTATGTCGTCTAAAATAAAGTTGGAGAGAGAGGCAGAGGCCAAATCATGTCCAAGCTCTGGAAAACAGTTTGGATTAAGACCAATTGATTGGTTAATTTGCTCATATTGCTTAGCTTAGTCAGAGCTTGAAGGGGAAAGGTGTAGTGATTACAAACACGATCTTTGGATCAAAGAAGTTTCAGTTCAAATCCTGGTTTGGGTATCTTGCTAGCTATGTTCCCTCAGGCAAGTTATTTATTCACTCCAAGCCTTATTTTATTCAGCTTCAGAGGGATAAATAATACTTATTTTAGAGGTGTGGTAAGGATTAAATAAAATAGCTTAAGCAAGCATATATCATAGTTTCTGCCAGGCAGTGAGCATAGCATTTTTCATAAAATATCACACACCAGAGATTAATAGTAAAAACAGTTTTTCAACCATTAAATGTAAGCATAGCTGGATTCTCATTTAAAAGCGACTTCAAGCAACAATTCTGGCTGTTTCCATTTAACGGAGCTTCACCCAATTTCCCATAAAAATAACTTGTTTCCCATAAAACAAGGCTTAAACCATGAAACAATGGGAAATAAGAATTATGAATTCTCCATCTTTCTATCTTTATTTTTCTTCACTCTTACTTCTAACATCCAATATATTTTAATTAAGCATTTATTTGGCTATTGTCTATACCTCACAACATCTCCCCAAACTATCTCCCTCTCCCTCTCTAACTGAAATGGATTGAGAGAAAAAATATATGGTACTTACATGTGCTTTGGGTTAAATGAAATCATTTTTTTCCTACCTAGAAAATTTCAGCACTGCACTCACACTTCATCATCTGGCCCCTGAATCAGAGATGTTTATTAACTAATAACCCCCTACCATTCTGTAAGTAAAAATTGGGTTATTCTATTGGGGACCACCTTATCTATCAATTTGAAGATTAACTCAAAGAAAAAGGCAGAGCTACAGCCACAGCAAATTCAATGTTGTAGCTACAGCACCTATAGCAAGAACTTGACTGTGAAGCACATTGCTGGTGTTATTCATTACACAGGGCCTCACTATTCCAGAGTAACAAAGCACAAGCGGGAGGAAAGGAGATGGCCAGCTTCCATCCCAGGGAAACAGAGATCCCAAAGTGCCTGAAAGACACTGGGTAAAGGGGCAGCTTGGAGGAAAGATTTCTGCCACGTGCCTGGACAGAGAGGAATCTACACTGTCTTATTGGTGACCCCAAGGCCTGGAAGACTCATTACAAAATGAGTCAGCTGGCTCCTACCACACCAAGTACTGGAGCACAAGAAAATGGAAACATCACCCTCACTAACAGGAGAGGGCATCACTCAGAGCTTTGACATGTTCAGGGGTAGCTGGGAAGATCTGGTCTCTGAAATGTGCAGAAAGGCTTAATAAATGCTAAGTTAATACACAGCAGAATTAAATTTTATAAAGCAACAGGGTAAGCTGTAAAGATAATGAAGTGAGGCAGTGAGTAAGAATTTCAAAGAAATATTAACTGGAACAGCAGAAATGAAAATTTGTTAATCCCATATTATGATTTTACTCTGGATAGACTCTCCCCACCATGAAATGGTGCTTCAGAGAAAAGCAAGCAATGGATTGGGTGTGTTGGCACTAAACCTGTAATGTTGATGAAGTCTACTTTTCATTATCATCTATAGATAAATCAAATCCCCCAACCCAGGCCAGATCCTTAAATACTAACCCTTCTGGCATTTCTATGGTATGGTCAGTTCGTATATGTATAATTCAGTTAGCAGAGACTAAAAGTGCTGTCACCTACAAGGAAAACATATAGACATATCCCCGTTTTCCTTGCTGCCAGGGTTCACTCTCTGTAACACATTATCTATGAAGACTGTCCATTCAGCAAGCCTTGAGTCACCCAGCAGGCACTTCCCATGTCACTTAACACTAAGAGCCTACTGAGGATAGTTATTATTGTTGAACATTCTATTCTAATAATATAATAGAACTGGCAATGAAAACAAATACACAGTCCTGTGGAGGACAATCTAAGTAAATTAAGTAAAGGACAAAGATGAAAGTGAATAGAGACATGAGGGATATTAGGCAGAAAATG